TTCGTGATTAGGTGCAAAAACTAAGACTTGATAAGGTTGTCTTGATATGATATTATGATTGGAACAAATCCCTACCTTCCTTTCTCTAAGTTCATCCTTCATGCATCTTTTCCTTCTTTCTAAATCTATATTTGTCTTTAATGGAATCAACTATTTGATAAAGCTCCACCTTCATGTTATTATCTCCATAAAGCAAGTAAGCCCCTTGACTTTGATCCATAAAATCATCATTGCATTTTGTTGTTGGCAATTGGCACATCATAGTTGTAATCAAGGATCTTCACCATACTCTAGTGTATGACATGAACTTAATGAATGACGTACGAAAGTCAATGATCAGAAATATTGGTATGTAGTATACATCGATTCATACCAAAAAATCTTAATCGATAATATCTCAAATCTCTCATCAAGTGGCATTGCAAACCATGCTTTTGGACAATAAAAGACTGGCAATATATGGACCAATAGTTGCCAAGGCGCAATCTAGATTAAAACTATTTGTACCATTTGAACTGATTATCTAGTCGTGTTTATAGTAGGGGTGATACACTCATAATGTAATAGATTGTGAACAAGAGAGCGCTCGGGATCATAAAATTAAAAAAGAAACCACTTGAAGCATTTGCTCATAGGAGAAATTCTTTAGTCCGGATGCAAATTTAGATCATCAGACACAAATGGTTGGTCAAATAAAAAATAATTATTGACGTTTTACACAGGCAATCGAATTGTTGTAACACAATAATTTATCTGTTGTTTAGAGTGGTCATTTTTTTTATTTTTTTGTTGAGAAAAGGGAAAACTCAAGTAAAAGCCCAACACAAAACAAGTCTGGCCCAAGTTGTGAAAATATTAAAGACAAACACCCCTAAAAGCTCTTAAACTTACAAACTGCGTGTGACAACCAACCTTCCACGGTTCCACCTGCAATTTTCAAATTCCAAACACTCACCCAGCTCACACCTCCTCAAGTTCCTTCCTTTTTTAACCATTTCGAGTAAAATCAACACAGCAGCAGATTTGGGCCTTCAGATTGTGGCACGACGGAGCTCCAACGATGGCTCCACGAGCACGAGGCAGAAAGGTTCGGCCTTTTCTTTCATTTTCTCAACACTTTCTCGCCTTTTCCCGCACTTTCTCGCGCGTATTTTCTGTCATTTTTGCACTTTCACTTGGTATTTGCAGAAGGACACTCGTATGGATGCAGCCATTGATGCGACGCGTGAAATGGGTTTTGACGAGAAACTCGTTCGTGCTACGGTGAATGACCTACTGAAGGTGGGTTTAATTTTTAGTCTTCTGATTGTGTTTTCAGTATTTTCAGAGAGGAAATCGCATTAGGGTTTGGGTTTTGTTTGAAATGTGAAAAGGGTTTTGCTTTCAGGTTTATAAGGGAGATAATAGGACAGAGAATCCATGGCGATTTATCGAAGAGGGTTCTTATACGCTATTGGTTGAGCAACTTCTTGAGAAAGTAGAAGCCCAAGAGGCTGCTGAAAAAAGGGTAAGTTGATTGCTTCTTGTTTTTGTGTGCTGAACTTGCTTCCCTTTTTGGTACATTGTGCTCTAATTCTCTCTGGCCCTTTGTAATTATGTTGTGTGATGCCCGGAAAATCTGTATCCTTTTTGTTAGTTTAGCGTAAGAACAATGCATGTTTGATTCTAAGTCGGGGTATTATCAGTCCAGTAATGAGAGAAGTTTCAGTGGCACATGCATAAAACCCAAATTTAGAAGGGAGAGAATCTGCAGAGAGTGGTGTATGAGGGGAAGATATGTGGCGTAAAATATCATGGGAAGAGAGAAATTGCTGTAAGCATGAGTAACAAACTCTCCACTGCCATCAAGGTGAAACACTTGAGTTGAGGAAGAAAATGAATTATTCACGTAAGCTGACAATGCATCAGTTTTATCTCATGGGAACAACCAGGTACTGTTATCCACAAAAGGCACATAACACCGATGACCATGCATCACTGTGAATTACAGCAAAGGGGATAGTAGATGGCTTGGAAAGAATGAGCATCAGAGATAAAGCGGCAATGGTTATCTTGACAAAACTGATTTACAAAGAGAAAATATGCGGTGATGTCAGGAAGTATATTAGACAAGTTAAAGGTTTGGCTTTTGGCAGTTAAAGTGAAAGAGCCAATATGTCTAATAGAGTGACAAGAACTATTACCTGTTTTAATTGGATATTGGCCATGACAGGTGCTAGCCAATTAGCTGTGATATGGTTTGTTGCTCCCCTGTCGGTGAGACAAAAATAACTATGGAAACTGATGACCATAGGCTGCAGCCATGAAAGTCGGTGATGGAGAAGGTTCCTTGCCTTGATAAGAGAACTTGGCTCGGTGTGGGTAATCCAGAGCAGTATGTCCAACTGTGTCACATGGATGACACTATGACAGTGGATCTGTGTAGTACCAGAAGGTGCAGCTTGTTGGGTCTGTCTAGGGTCATGGTAACCTGAAGAGTGTTGTTGGCTAAATTTCCATGGTGCTTGATTATGTTTGTGAATAATTGATTATAAAATCATGAAAATGTGAGATTGCTAATTTTTGTTGCGAAAAGAAAGCTAACGTCATTGGTTTGCAGTGTGCTGCATTGTGTTCCTAGTAGCTGTTATCATGTCTAAGATTGGCTCGCTAGTAGGCCTCACAATATCCTGCTATTCCAACTTCTCTAAAGTAGGATTGTACATTAAATTGCCCTTCATTTCTGTGTGATAGAACTGCATTGCGTACATCTGTGATGTTGGTTCTCACCTTGACCTTCGTCACTCAATTGTACAAAATTACTCATAATTCTAGTCCGGACCTTTCATTTATGTTAATTACTGTTGGTAGTATTGAGCATACATTATTTTCTTTTTCACTTTAAAAGGATGCTACTTCACAAGACAATAATGCTCCACAAGACGACGCTGCTATGCAAGAAGACACTGCTATGCAAGAAGGCGCTGGTATGCAAGAAGATGTTGCTATGCAAGATGATGCTGCTCCGCTAGAAGATGTTGCTTTACTAGAAGATGCTTCTCCGCTAGACGATGCTGCACCTCTAGATGATGCATTAGCTGCTGTGCCCTCAAACACTGCCATTCTATCTACTTGTGATAATGCTCCGCAAGATGCTGGATCAGTGGCCGGAACTGCAAGGACTGCCATTTTATCTACCTGCTCAGAGGCTGTCAACAGCACATTGCTGACTGAGGATCCTTGTGACTCTGCATCACATACTAATGGACCTATCCCGGCATCAATGATTAAAATGCCAGGTAGCTTATCTTCTAATTACTCGTAAAAATCTAGTCATGTACAGTTTCCATTCATCACTACCATTATAAATGTTCACTTGTCTTGCAGATGCCAAGGATGGCCTCCAAGTAGACAGTTGCCCACCCCGGAGGCCTAGACCTTACTACGGCTGGGTTTGCAGCGATGATGAGGAATATCCTGTGGAAGTGGCGTCGTCTCCATTGTCAGAGTTGGTCAAATTGCTTATTAGGCCAGATAAGAAGAAAAAGCGGAAGTCGAGATGGGACATGGGACCTGAAGATATGTGAAGCTCTTGCCAATCATGTCATGCTTGTAGTATGTAGAAATAGGAGTGCTGTATAGAAAACCACAGGTTTCGAACCTTTCGGCGACAAACTGATAGTATGATCATTCAAATCTGTTTTATGGCTGTCGTACGTATCGTGTCGACGTTTTGTGCAAACCAGTGCAACTACAGACATGAGAAATGTACATTTTGGAAGCCATTGGAACCAAATTTTGTGTTTAAAAGCCATTGGAAGCCATTGGAACTAAAGCTTGTGGGTGGCCTTAGTTCGTTGGTTCTTTAATGCGAGTAATCTAATCTGACAGGTGATTTTTCATCTTAAAAGTCAGCCTTTTTGCTTTACTTTGATTTTGAAGAGGATTATGGAGATTGGGTGTTGTTTTTACTTTCGGTTCGAAACTCTCTCTATTCCTAGGAATAATAATTTTAAAAAACCTTAAATTTGAAAATAATTATTAAAAAAAAAAATAATGAAAAGGGTTTGAAAACTTTGAGTTTTAACAAGATTGACAAAATAAAGGGTAAAGTGAATAGTACTAGGATTGATTTTTTAGTGTAAAAATGTGATTTTTCGTTAAAGTGAACAGTACCGTGGACTTTTCGTTAAAATTCCCTTATTAAAATGGTTTCATAATGATGAGACTACAAGGACTTGTAATTCATGTAATTAAGATTTAAGAATGTTGGTTAAGCATATTAAGCCGGGGATATTTTTCTACTAAAATTATTAGAAACGTTTTTGATAATCTAAAAGTACTTTTGGTTATTTTTAGGGATGTGATATCCACACATCATTTATTACTTCTCACACACCCTTCTAATTTTTGGTTGTCGGATCGGATGAATTGAAAAAGATCAACGGACAGAAATTAACTAAGGATGTGTGAGAAGTAAAATAAGGTGTGTGGATAGCACACCCCTATTTTTAAAGAACTTTCAAACATATCCATAATTTAAACAAGGGAAGTGTTATTGGCACTCCTACATGTTTCACAATTATATTTTTCTTTCCTAATATAGCAAGTTTGGAGTGTAGAATAAGATTTTTGGAATGTTAATAATAATTCCTTTTAAACAATTCAAACTTGAAATAGAGGTGGAATGGGAGAAGTTTTTCAGTATGTCAGGAATACGGTTCGATACATCAAGTGTCATCATATAATTGGTTAAAAGTTTTATTTTTATTTTTTATGTTCAAACCAATTTTATTGTTACACTTTCTGTATCAAACTGCATTTCCGTCACACTGAAAAATCTCTGATTAAATAGACAGATTGTCCTAACCTAGAGGACAATTATATTACTGAATCCTATGAAAGAGTGGATACATTGTCTCATCGTAATTAATCCAGGGTTCACACTTCAACAATGAAACAAAAAATAATAAAAAATATCAAATTACGCGCGTATTTAACCCAAACGAACCTGAAAACAGATATTCCCTATCTGCGTGGGGCTTCTCTCTAAAAGGATAAGACTCACTCTCACCTCGCTGAGACTTCGAAAGCTTCAAACTTTCACACAAAAAGCTTCTCTCGACCTTCAATGGCGCTGGGGTTTCATCTGAATTAGAACCTCTCTCGCCGACTACCTACCAGTTAAAATGAACTTCTCGGTAACTTTTCGAGGGAATTTTGTTCCCTTATCGCAGTGCAGCTCTTGCTGCGATCTTCGTTTTCAGCCTTACTTCGCTTCCGAAACTGGTTCATGGAGGAAACGGCACCGTCACAGAAGCAGCTTGAAGCTCCAGGTTTCAAGGTAAGGTTTTCTAAACTCTCACCAAATTATTATTGTTCTTTTTGTTGTTGTTTGGAGTTTGATTGTGGTGGTTAATTTAGAATTTTGAGGAAGCGAGAGGTTGTTTGTAGAGTGAGTGAGACGGAGACCGAACCGGATAGCAATAACGATGAGGTGCAATTTCAAGTTTTTAATTTCGTTAAATTTTGATGTTAATTTCTGTACATTTTTTTTTCTCAATTCTTATTCATTTCGACATGGTAGGAAAAAGGACATGGAAATGAAGGGGGAGATTGTGATGCTGCCGTCCATCACGATTCGCAGCCGGTAGTTGCAGACCAAGCAAACAATGATGCCGAAACTAAGGCTCAATTTGGGGTCCAGGTAATGTCAGTCAATTGAAAAAATTTATTTTCCCTTACATTTCGGACTTTTGTGATGTACTTAGTAATACAAATTGTTTTCTTTGTTGTTTCTCATGATGGAGGTAGTAGTATGAATAACCATTCACTAGTTATACATGAAAATATTGTCCCGTGGAGTTCAGTATGAAATTCCGTCACGAACGTTATATTTGGGCAACTTTTCCATTAGATATCAAATCCCCTAACAGGGGTATTGCAAAATAGCTCTGTTGACACTTATTGTGCTAAGGTTGTGTTTATGACAGGAGGCTGAAAATGTAGAAGTTTCAAGTGGATCGCCTCTTCCAGGTGTGAAGGTGATTATGAAGTTCTTTGATGTTTCTAAGACACCTTTTTTTTATATCTTCTCTTCTTTTTAACACCCTCTTCTTAATAATTTCTTGAACAGCCACAACTGGGTGAATCCATGCGGATTCCAAAGGAAACAGTCGATATTCTGAAGAACCAAGTTTTCGGCTTTGATACCTTTTTCGTGACAGGCCAGGATCCATATGAGGTGAATTGACTGATTGCATTTCATTTTACTTTTTATGTCTTTGTCAATTTCTTCACTGGAAAGAAGTGAAGAAAACATAGGGAATGGCAATGAGTGTATAACCTCAGTTGTTGGGTATTGGGTAAAGTTCCTTTCAATATTCCAATGGAGCGTATGAATTTATGCACGCTTATTTGTGGACTTAAAACTATCCTTCAAAGAGTAATTGAGAAAATACTGATAGTATCAAACCATTGGAATGGTAAGATATGCTTTCTAGCCTGCCTGGTTGAAAGTCTCTGATTTTGTGTTACCTCTGCCAGAGTGGAGTATTGTTTAAAGGAAACCTGCGAGGAGTGCCAGCTAAAAGTTACGAAAAGATATCAAAGAGACTGCAGGTATCTATTTCTATACTTCATTTCACAGTATAAACATATGATTGATTCCCTATTAACATCTGCACAATCTGTTTGTAGGAAAAGTTTGGGGATGAATATAAGCTTTTCCTCCTAGTCAATCCTGAGGATGATCAACCGGTGGCAGTTGTAGTTCCACAAAGGATATTACAGCCAGAGTCAACTGGTGATTCTTTAGCTAATTAGCTCCTGCCCTGTTACGGGATTTCTGTGGAAGTTGTAGGCAGAAATCAATCTCTAAAGCTTATGATTTGTTCCGATGATGGATTTGGTGTCAATCTTGCAGCCGTCCCAGAGTGGTTTGCAGCTGGTGCTTTTGGATTGGTCACATTGTTTACCCTACTTCTTCGAAATGTTCCTGAATTGCAGTCCAATTTACTGTATGTAATTTGCTTTTGCTGTATATTCATTATATTAAATAGATAGATAGTAATGCACACTCATGATAATATGTCCCAGGTCAGCTTTTGATAATCCTGAGCTGTTGAAGAATGGTTTACCTGGAGCCCTTGTGACTGCAGCTGTTTTGGGCGTGCATGAACTCGGCCATGTTTTAGTTGCAAATAGCACTGGAGTTGTGCTTGGAGTGCCATACTTTATCCCCAGTTGGCAGGTGAATTTCATATGAAGAAAGTGCCCCCAACCCCCTATTTTTATAAGACGACTGGACATGAATAAATCTGCGTTTCCATATACTAAGTAATTATCTGTGTATATCTGCACACCAGTACCTTTACTTTCCATATAGGCTGGTTGTTGTGAATTTTATTTGTCACTAGTTTTTTTACGATCTTGTCACGAGTTGAAAGAACTGGTAGGAGAAGTACAGACATTATAATCTAACTTATATCTTGCTTCTCATGAGGCAGGCATTCTTGCTTCTACGTGTGCATACTGGTTTAGTTTGATTTTCTTCTGCTAAAACACAGACAAATTGTGATGAACTGTTTGCTGGCAGATAGGCTCTTTCGGTACAATTACAAGAATTGTGAATATTGTACCCAAGCGTGAAAATCTTCTGAAAGTTGCGGCGGCAGGACCCTTGGCTGGATTTTCCTTGGGATTTGTCCTGCTGCTTTTAGGATTCTTCTTACCACCTAGCGATGGCATTGGTGTTGTTGTCGACGCTTCTGTATTTCACGAGTCTTTTCTTATTGGGGGTACTGGTAAGCACTTCACCTTAGAAATGTAGTTCATGCTTAAACTTTGTGTGCATATGTTGACTGTAACATTCATTTCTTTTACAGCAAAGCTTCTTGTCGGTGACGCGCTAAAGGAAGGCACTCCCATATCTCTTAACCCTCTCTTGTTATGGGCGTGGGCTGGACTCGTTATCAACGCTATTAACAGCATTCCGGCTGGAGAGCTTGACGGGGGCAGAATTTCGTTTGCCATTTGGGGAAGAAAGGTATGCAATTCGAAGTTCGTCATGACTTAAACCGGCAGCTTGAAGGTCGGAAATCTGTACTGATCAATCGTTTTCCATACAACAGGCTGCAACTCGCATCACGGGTGCTTCAATCGCGCTGCTCGGATTATCATCCCTGGTCAGTGACGTTGCATTTTATTGGGTAGTTTTGATATTCATCTTACAGAGAGGGCCGATTGCTCCACTCTACGAGGAGATCACAGATCCTGACGACAAGTACGTTGGCCTCGGCGTATTAGTTTTGTTCTTGGGATTGCTGGTATGCTTACCATACCCCTTTCCCTTCGTAGACGAAATCATGACAAGTTTCTAAGGGAAGCGGCTCATGCATACATACTGGAATCAGATACTAGTCGATACATACGTCGTCGTTCAATAGCATGGATTGTTCACCATATATGAATAACAATCTGCCGGCATATTTCTATTAATAAAAATGAAGTTATTTTTTAGTTCTTTTATTTATGATGTATGATCAACATTGGATAATCAAAGAGGGAGGATTAGTATAGAACGAATTTACAGTCATCTGGTATTCGGGTTCAATATGACTTGTGTGGAGAAAAGAACAATCAGCCTATATGTTTCTATTAATTAGACATTTCTGCTTTAATTTTTTTCATTAGGTTTAATTTGAGGTTGGTGGCTCTTATAGAATTCAGGCAATCTTTACTTGTGAGTTATGAGGAGGACTTCGGTGGGAGAGAGGAAGAAGTCAGAGAGGTATGAGGTTTATGTGTAAGGAAGAGAACGATGAGGACGACATTATATTAGAGTCAACTAATGTTAATCGGTTGCTCATCACAAGACACAATAATTTTTATAAGATCAAGAAAACATTTCAAACAAAACAATTAGATTCATCCTAATTTAAAATTTTGACTTCACCGCTACGAACTTGTTTCATATGCAAGTTGCGCTTCCAATGAGATCTCTATTCGCAACCCGCGAATATCAAGAAAAAAAAAACTGCAATCGTACTTGAAAAACTGCTGCCTAAATTCTGGTAATGTGATCGTCAAATTGTCAGTGCCAATGTGTGGATGGTATTTCTGGTGTGCACTGTTTTGCATGAAACAAAATAACAAAAACATGCCATTCAAGAGATTGAAAAATGTTTCCACTTTTTTGGATGTTGGCACTTAAACTCGTAAAGTTGTAATTTTTTTTGGGTGAACACTCGTATAGTTTCACTTGTCTCGTAAATTGTGCTGAATGACGCCGATACTACGGGACCACAAGCAAATGTACGTCAATTCTGAAATGATAATGTTAAAGAGATTTTTAAAATGAATTTTAAAATTAAATAATATATCACTAATAAAGAATAAACACGTAATCAATATTTAAGTAATAATCTAATCGTCAACATCCACATCATAATGAGACTGAATTATTTCTCAGAAATGATTCGTTGCAAGCTCTTAGAATTCTATACTTAAAATTGGCACAATTCACATTATAAATTACTTCATAAAGATTGCTTTTACAAAACAAATCAATAAATATGATAAAACAAGGGAAGTGTTATTGGCACTCCAAAAATCTAATTCTACACTCCTCATAAGTGTATTTTTCTTTCCAAATATAGAAAGTTTGGAGTGTAGAATGATATTTTTGAAGTGCCAATAACAACTCTCTAAAACAAAAGAGAAGATTGAGTTTTGCATTCTTCTACCCTTCCACTTTTGTATTTATCTCTTGATTCGTTTTTTTTAATTTACTCAATTTTATGATTGAAAACAAAAGAGAAAAATGCAAGAGATAAAAAAAAGAGTGCGAATATCAAATCTACAATTTGAGTGATTATATTTCAAGATTGTTCTTTTGGCTGATATACTCAAGATTCCAAATAGAGTAAATTTTTTTATGCTTTTATTAAACCATCGTCCGTACGAACTTGTTTCATGTGCAAGTTGCGCTTCCAAAGAGATCTATTCGCAACCCGCGAATATCAAGAAAAAAAAAAAACTGCAATCGTACTTGAAAAACCGCTGCCTAAATTCTGGTAAAGTGATCGTCAAATTGTCAGTGCCAATGTGTGGATGGTATTTCGGGCGCGGACTGTTTTGCACGAACCAAAATAAAAAAACATGCCATTCAAGAGCTTGAAAAACGTTTCCACTTTTTTGGATGTCGGCACTGAAACTCGTAAAGTTTTTTGTTTTGGGTGAACACTCGTAACGTTTCACTTGACTACCAAACTCTCATTGATTGTGCTGAATGACGCCGATACTACGGGACCACAAACAAATCAAGGTCAATTCTGAAACGATTAGATTAAAATTTTAAAATGAAATTTTAAATTAAATAATGTGTTATTAATAAACAATAAACACGTAATTAACGTTTAAGTAATAATCTAATAGTCAACATCCACATCATAATGAGATTGAATTCTTTCTCAAAAATGATTCGTTGCAAGCTCTTAGAACTCTATACTTAAAATTGGAACAATTCACATTATAAATTGCTTCATAAAGATTGCTTTTACAAAACAAAGCAATAAATATGATAAAACAAAAGAGAAGATTGATTTTTACATTCTTCTACCCTTCCACTTTTGTATTTATCTCTTGATTCGTTTTTTTAATTTACTCACTTTTACATTTGAAAACAAAAGAAAAAAAATGCAAGACCAAAAAAAAAAAAAAAAAAAAAAAGAGGGCAAAAATCAAATCTATAAAAGATATGACAAGGGCAATTTCAGTGATTATATTTCAACACTGTTCTTTTGGCTGATATTACTCAAGATTCCAAATAGAGTGAATTTTTTTTTAATGCTTTTATTAAACCATCGTCCGTGCGATTTAAGCTTATTACTTTTTTTAGTAAAAAAAAAAAAAATTGAGTGTTATGACGCAATTGTAGAAACTATTCCGAGTAATGTTATATTTATTATATTTTTTTATACCGTATTTGTTCACTTTTTTAATAGAAATATGACCCATCAACACATGTGGATCTCGTCTCTATTAAAAAAAGATACAAATATGGTATGAAAAATATGATAAGAGTATTATTTGTGTTTGCTTTGGTAAGGTTTCTCCTATTTAGTATTTTCTTAGGTAAGATTCTTCCATGTCCTAGCAAATATCTTCCTACAATATTTGGAAGTGACTTGGATACCCAAGGAATATGAATCTCACTTGGCACTTAATGCACAATCTATTACAAAATGTTTCTTTTTATTTTTTTATTTTTTTTAACAAACGATATTATCTACACTAAGGAAGTGGGGGAGTGGGCTAAGCCTTACAATGGGCTAGCAATAATGTAGTTCAAATTTGCATTTGTCGAGAATCGAACTTAAGACCTATTACTTACAAATGTATGTGTGTGTCATTGTAAACACATTTTACATGTGACCAAAATTATAAAGTTTTGAATAAATTTTTGCAAGGAGCGATATTTACCTCTACAACGAATATTATAAATTGCATTATATTCCTTTTTCTGTATAATACTCAGATGTTGCATTATGCTTATATAGGGGGAGTTTGTTGCATTGGACTATTTCGGACTGGACTAGTTTCACAGACTAAACTGGATTGGCTTAGAATTGACTAAGCTTGACAAATTTAGTGAAGCGTTTAGTGTAGCGTCGGACTAAGAAACAAGATAATTAACAAACTATATATGATACTATTTAATCCATATCTTTTTAACGCTTTATTATTAGTTTTTTTTTTCCTTTCTAGAAACCTCTTCCTCTCTCCCTCCCATCTCCTCTCCCTCCTTTTCTCTGTCCAACTCTAAAACTTGGAGAGCTCTAGAATGCACAGCAAAACAAATCCCGTTTGAAATCCAGATTGAATCCCTGTCGAAACTGGAAGATCAAGATGAAAAACTCAGAAGATGAAGACAAAAACCAAACTCGATTGTCTACATGTTGGATCTCGTTTGAAACCCAGATCGAATCCCTCTAATTCCTCAAAATCACAGCCTCCTCCTTCCGTAACCACCACCACACCCTTCTCCCAGGTAACTCCCACAACAATCCAGGTCACTGATGACAAGAACAACCAATCCTCATCACCCTTGTCCGACTTTCTGGGTTCGAATTCAAAAGCCATCGATTGAAGAAAGTTGAGATTCCACCATAAAACCGATTGGCAATATAGGGAGTTACCTCTTATAAGCCCATGTAAGGTCCCTCCTCCCATCAATGTGAGACTCATTCTCAACACGCTCCTTCACGTGTGGCAAATTTTCAAGCCTAACACGTGGACAACACAACTGGATGAAGTGGAGCGCGTGTGGCCATTTAGCTTTACACGTGGGACCTGCTCTGATACCATGAAGAAAGTTGAGGTTCCACTATAAAACCAATTGGCAATATAAGGAGTAACCTCTTATAAGTCCATACAAGATCTCTCTTCCCATCAATGTGAGACTCATTCTCAACATCGCCTTAAAATCGCTTATGCAACAGATGCTAAAAAACGACGAGGATGGCGAGGCGCTCAAGATCTTGCAGCGCTTGGTCGCGATGCAACCCTCCGCCATCGAGTGGATGTTCATGATGGAGAGGGTTCTCACTGAAAGGAGAAAAACGATGGGGAAGATGAACATGGAATTGTAATCCCAACCTTTTCACATGGTAATAGTAGTGAGACATTTAGCGAAGGTGAGTCCAACTTAATCTCATTAAACTGCTTTTAACCGCGCCAAATAAGGAATTAGGACAGTAACTAAGCTAATCCTACTATTCCTGCCTAAAAAGGCCAGACAAACGCGGCCTAATCGCTCTACTTACCCACCCAAAAAATCTTAGCTACAAAATCTAACGTTAAGGGAAAAGATTTACCATTAAAGTTTTACCAAAAATTCTAATATTAAAAAAAATAAATAAAATTGAATAACAGTTAAGGAGAAAAGATAAATAAGGACAAAGAGACTGTTACATGCATACACATTTCTGGGAACTTTTGACCAGTTTTCAATAGTTCCACCACCCCATTTTCACAGGGAGCACACCCCAAGAGCACCGCTAGAAACACAGAGTGAGTACCGGCGCCGGTCCATATTTCCGGTTTCCCTTTCGATAATGCTAGCCCTCTGCTTCTCCCAGCGCCTGGTGCCGCCGAGTCGCCGGCTGTCTCGGGTTCCGGTCATCGGCATTTCGAGTAGAAACTCGAGCTCACTTTCATGCGTCCCGTTAACGAAATGCTGCGCTCTCTCGAATCAATCGTTAGGTAATTTAACATTTTCTCAGCTTTATGTATACTGTTTGGTTGCTAAGAAAATACGGGAAAAAGGAAAGAAGTATAACAGTTGAGTTTCATGTATTCGATCGTTTGTGGTCCCGTTTTCATATAATCACCTCATTTAAGCAAATTATTTGATTTAAGCTCAAGTTAGTTGGTGCTTAATTTTGGTTTAATTCTAGCGATTAGAACTTGTAATTCAATGTTATTTGTTTTATACGTGCAATTCATATGGATTAATGTTATTATTTTCAAATATTTTCTTTTAACATCAAGAACATAAACTTTTAAGTTTTTTAAGTTTAGATTTTTTTCTTCTAATTTTTCAGTTACTGATGCAAGCAAGTTTCTGGAAGCTTCAAAGAATGGAAATTTGGTTCCTCTTTACAAATGCATTTTCTCTGACCAGCTCACTCCGGTTCTTGCATATCGATGCTTGGTTAACGAGGACGATCGAGAGGCTCCAAGCTTTCTGTTTGAATCAGTTGAGCAAAACTTGCAGGTTTCAATCAAACTCTGCTAAATATGCTTTGATACTTGCTGGTTTTGAATTGACGGGTCTATTAGTTTTGTACATCGTAATTTCGTGTTGCATTGATTGTATTAGGGGCGCTTCAGCGTTGTTGGAGCTCAACCAACGATGGAAATCGTGGCAAAAGAAAATAAGGTGACGATAATGGATCATGAAGAAGGGCGCATGACTGAGGAGTTCGTCGAGGATCCGATGGTTATTCCCAGAAGAATCTCGGAGGGTTGGTGTCCTAGTCCTCTACTTATTGATGACCTTCCTGATGCGTTTTGTGGTAAGAGAAGTGAAGGTCCAAGTTACGTTCTTTTATGACAATATCTTGCTAAATACGCTGCGACGAAGATGTTTTCTGCTAGATTGTATGGTGCTTGTAGTTCCAAATTGGTTTCCTAGATTTCCTATGCCCAAGCTGACATGGTTCTCTGGTGTGTTTGTGTTTTCGTTTTGCCGCGAACAATTTACGCAGATTTGACATTGGATGCGTTGCAGAAATTACATTGGTTGTCAATTTAGACTGAGTAAATAACTTTCTGATAATCCGTTTTGCACAGGTGGCTGGGTAGGTTATTTTACGTATGATACAGTTCGGTATGTGGAGAAAAGAAGACTGCCATTCTCAAAGGCCCCCAAGGATGACAGGAATCTTCCGGACATACATTTAGGGCTCTATGATGAGGTCATAGTGTTTGATCATGTGGAGAAGGTACTCTTCTTTCGATCTTCTCACACGTCAAACTGTGAATCATCTTGAATGTACTAGGTTATAACTTTGGTGTGTAAATATAGTATATGCTTTCTCTTCACAAATGACTGCGTTATGCAGAAAGGTTCCCGGCATTCTGTTCTTAACAAAAAGGAAAGGAAGTAAAATCCTCTGACTCGGTTATGGTTGAGGTTCTTACGAGCTTTTGTTAATCTATCATCTCAGAGAGTTTATGTGATTCATTGGGTGAGGTTAGAACGGTACTTCTCGGTTGAGGAAGCTTATACAGATGGAGTGAAACGTTTGGAGGATTTAGTGGCTAGAGTGCACGATGTCGACCTGTGAGTAACTCTTATACTTGCTTAAAGTTCCATTCAGCGCATATTGATTTGATTGTCTGTTGTTAGCCCAAGGCTATCTCCAGGATCGATGAATCTACATACTTGCCAATTCGGTCCTCCGCTAAAGAATTCAAGCATGACAAGTGAGGAATACAAGGACAAAGTTAAACAAGCAAAAGAACATATACTTGCAGGGGATATTTTCCAGATTGTATTAAGTCAGAGATTTGAACGTCGAACGTTTGCCGACCCGTTTGAAGTTTATAGAGCCTTGAGGACTGTAAATCCCAGCCCATATTTGACTTACTTGCAGGTTTGTGAGTGTTTTCGTTGGAGTTTTGTTAACCCTTTTTTGGTATGGCCAATATCTGTTCCTTTTTTGTTGGTCAAAACTATGGTGATCAGGATTGCAGTTTCCAAGTAGGATTGGCTTTAAGAATCATAGAACGCCACTATGCTCGGTTTTGCGTCAAAATTTCTGTTAGTTTTAAGTACTCTATATCTTTTTTTATATTTTTTTTCCAAGTCTTCCTCTACCTCTTTTGCCTTGGGCATCTATCTCATAATCACATCTTCTAAATAGATAATTTGTAGGTTTTCTATTCACGTCTCCGGACTATCTTAACAATTTTCTCTCATCTTATCTTCAATTGCGGTCACTCCTACTTTAACTCAAGTATCCTTATTCTTAATCCTATATTTTCTCGCGTGCACAGGCTCGAGGGTGCATCCTGGTTGCTTCAAGTCCAGAAATTCTTATGACTCTGAAGAAGGTAAATATGACCAGTAGTTTCTGTACTAACTTTTCCTTAACTTCTTTGAGTTCATATATAGGTGCGTAAAATTTAGATTTAATTAATAGATCATTAGCTACTTTTACTTGATGATAATTATAACGTTACAAACAGAAAAAGATCGTGAATCGGCCGTTAGCTGGAACTGTTAGAAGAGGGAAGACCGTCGAGGAAGATAAAAAGTTAGAACAGCAGCTCCTTGACGATGAAAAGCAATGTGCAGAACACATCATGCTGGTTGATCTGGGTCGAAATGACGTCGGAAAGGTTTGTCTTGAACAATTACCAAATAGTGTGGACATTAATATGCATAACACATCACGCTGGATGATTCTTATGAGTTTCAGTAGATAAGCTTGTTCTGGTGATGTGGTTTGTTTGATATAGGTCTCCAAATACGGTTCTGTGAAGGTGGATACATTGATGAACGTTGAACGGTATTCCCACGTAATGCACATAAGCTCCACGGTGAGAATCTCCGGTCTGATCGAGTTTGGAGTCAGTTCACGGTTTCTAAATGTTCCGTAGTTAGAGATAATACTTAAAATCTTTGTGACGGAATGAATCTTCGGTGACAAAAGCCATCACAATTCATCTTGCAGGTTACGGGAGAGCTGCGTGATGATCTCACTTGCTGGGATGCCTTGCGAGCTGCGTTGCCCGTCGGAACTGTTAGTGGAGCACCGAAGGTTGTCAGCTAGCATTTACCTTCTTCCCTTTTGCAGTTCAACTTCAACACAATTTCATCGTCGTTTGTGATCTGATTCAGGTGAAGGCCATGGAGTTAATTGATGAACTGGAGGTAACAAGGCGTGGCCCGTACAGCGGTGGATTTGGGGGGGTTTCCTTTACAGGTGACATGGACATTGCTCTAGCTCTGAGGACCATGGTGTTTACAACAGGATCCCGTTTTGACACAATGTACTCTTACAAAGATGCCAACCGGCGCAGGGAATGGATCGCTCATCTTCAAGCTGGTGCCGGCATAGTGGCTGACAGTGACCCGGATGATGAAAACCAAGAGTGCCAGAACAAAGCTGCCGGTCTTGCTCGTGCCATCGACTTGGCGGAGGCAGCATTTGTTAAGCAATGAGAGAGAGTGTTCCTTCCAGTTGTCTATGTAATATAGTTCTCAACTCTCGAGTGCACCCACAGTGAAAGTACCATGCACACAGTTTGCAATGTATCTTTGTAGACAGTTCAGTAGCCATAGTAAAAAACAGCTTGGTTATCGAAGCCTCGTGCCAAATCTGCTTGGATAGCCTTCAAGATGACGATGAACATCTGGGAACACTAAGCCGAGAAATAACTCACAACTATGGTGAATGCAGTGTAAAACAAAATGCAGAAACAAAACCAGAAACTCTCTTGGGATTCAATTTTTCAACTTCATAGCCAATCTTTCTGTCTTAAATCCGGGCGGCAGAGTAATCGACCACTTGAGCAGTAGGTTCCCTCCTTACCCTATAACTTGTAAGTAGAAACCAATCAAACTTTGGGGAAGACAACATCAGAATGTTTCTCAGCAGAAATGCAGAAACCTGACTTCTCTTAGAGACCTAAAACTAGTTCAACAATCATTCTACACAATTACAGACTCCAAGGGGCCTGAAACTCACTCCGAAAACAACTCTCGTGCACCGGGATCACGAAGCCAATCATGCACTGGCCGCGATGGGCCAAACGGAGCAGCCCAACGACCACGACGGCATCGAGTTCTGGTCAAACCCCGACCGCACCAGTTGATTCACCAAACAAAGCGAGTACATAAAGTTGTGGTGTTGCCGGTGGTTCGTGCTCAATCAAGGCAAGCTTTTCTGGTTCAAGGACTCCGCCGTCACCCGCGGCTCCAGGCCAAGTGGCGTGATTGGCTTCGTGATCCCGGTGCACGAGAGTTTACTATCCAAAGCCAATCACGCACTGCCATGCCACCACCGTGGCAGCCCAGGAACTCCGATCCCAAATCGACTTGTAACAACAGTAAAAAGAACCCCAATTGACATTAATCAACTCAAATCAGATCAAATTTACCCCCACTTCAACCACTTTAAACACTCAATTCAACTAAATCATAAAATTCCGACAAACCCTAGCAATAAAGCATCTTAATTTAACAACTAGACAAAAAACCCAAAATCCAAAAACGGAAAGCAATTCAATTTCAGTCGAAATCTAATCGTTACCAAACAAAGAGAAACTTTAAATTGCTGCGAATTCGAAAACACAATACGATCTGAATACATTTACAGAAGAAAAACAGAAAAGTGTCACTGAATATTTATGCACGAGCAAAAATACAAGGAGCGGAGCTCCACCACCACTCACCTACAGTAGTAATTATATGACCAAATTGCCCCCTCCACTCCACCCTCTCACTTCTTGCTATCGTAATCGACGACCTCGGAGTCGGTGACGGACCTCGAATGCTGCACTATGGACCGTCCGATCGAGTTGATCCAGTCCTCCTTCTCCTTCTCCGAGTCGGCGATGAAGTACATCGTCTCCGAGCGCGTCGACAGCTCGAACGCGTACTGCTTGTTGAGGACGTCTTCGGCTCCCTTCACTGTGAGGCAAGACGCCACCGGGATCACGCCACGTGGTCTGGAGCCGCGGTTGACGGCGGAGTCCATGAACCAGAAAAGCTTGCCTTGCTTGAGGACGAACCACCGGCGACGCCACGTCTTTATGTACTCGCCTTGTTTAGTCAACCAACCGGTGCGTTCGGGGTTTGACCAGAACTCGATGCCGTCGTAGTCATTGGGTTGCACCGTCTGGCCCATCGCGGCCCGCCATAGGCTCGCCATCGGAGTTCGGGTCGAATTCGGGTTTTTTTCCAGAGCGTTCAACTGAATCTCGTCTCTTGCAGAACGCGTAACGGAAGGAAAGGTTAATAATAAATATATAAATAAAAATCTATCTGTTACACGGCAATGATTTAGGATATTTTCTCATTTTTAATTGATTTTTTTTTCTATTCATATTTTATTTTTTGGGGAAATATTGTGAAATTTGGTAATTAGGAAAATATAAGTTGGTGAATAAGTTGATGATGACATTGGACTGTTAGGTTATTAGGTGTAAGATTGTACCATTAATTAATGATAATTAAGTTTATATGCTAAAAAAATAATTTAAAAACTTAATTCGATACACTAAGTATCATAATATAAACAGTTAAAATATTTAATTATTTGTATTATGATATTTTATATATTGGGTTTCCTCGGTCGGCACACAAAAAATATCTCCCAAAAAAAGGAGAGGGTAACTGTAAGCTTTGTCCTAATCTTGAATATGTTTCCATGCATATGATGTAACACCTATAAAAGTATCATGTATTCCTTGGTGATTAAGAAAAGAAGAAGAAAAATAGAATATGGCTTCCTTTTTGCTACTCCACCTCCACCTGTCCATGTATTTATGTGTGATGAGATACAGCTCACATTATTTTATTGGCTTTTTATGTGTAACGCATATTAGTATATCTCTCGTCACGTGATGAGAAAGATGCTAATAGTAGGAATAATTTCACAAAATTGAACACTCAGGTATTTATCTGATTCTCAAAATTCATCAGCTTATAACTAACATCTTACATTTTCTTAAGCTGCTTATTCATAAGTAAACTATCATTTGGCTACTGATTTTCGGTCTCTCTCGACGGATTTCTACACCGATCAACGCATTTTGTATACGATGCAGCTCCCCGGTGACATCCTACATTTTCACTCTCCGTTTTGGTGATCCTTCCGAGCACGCGAGCCCAATCTCGAGGACTGGAAGTATGCACTTCCTCACAAATGGATTCATTTCACTTATGTTCACGTAGTTTATGTTTTCTTCTCCCGCCTCTGTTTCGCCATTGATGTAGTTTGCTTCCTTTCCTTTTGCTGCAGGCGCTTTCTCTTCAATATCGGCGAGGATAGCAGGATCCACGATCTGCATTGTTCTTTCAGGTATTGCCATCTTAACAAAGTTATGGAGATTGAAACCGTCTTTGAACATTTCTTCGGTCGGTCTTCTTCCAGTGAACATTTCTAACACTAGGATCCCATAACTGTATATGTCCCCTTGTCTTGATGGTTCGCCACCAATTGCGTACTCTGTAACTCATGAAACAATCAAATTTATAAGTTCTGTGTGGACTAGATACAAATTTGGAACATTATATCTATAATATGCAAACTTTTACTATATGTAAATTAAGGGTCACTCCGATAGCCATTTTATTTTAAGGTTTTAGTTTTCTTTTACCGGTTTTTCTACCGCTTCAGTAAATAGTCCAACTAGGTAGAAATTTGAGAAGTTGTGAAGTTTTAGAAGAGTTTACCTGGAGCCGCATAGCCAATGGTTCCCGTTATTCCAACTGTGCTACTTTGATTTAGAGAGGAGTCCGCGGTAGCTGAAATGAGTCTTGCTAACCCAAAATCACCTACATGAGCATTCATGTCATCGTCAAGAAGAATGTTGCTTGGCTTCAAGTCACAGTGAATGATTGGTTGTTCACAATGGTCATGGAGATAGTACAATGCAGAAGCCACATCAACTGCAATGTTCAATCTTTGGTGAAGGCTCAAACTCCTTGATTGGTTTTCTCTGTGCAGCCACTGCTCTAAACTTCCGTCTGACATGTATTTGAAAACCAGAGCTTTGAATTCGTTGCCATTGTAATCCGTGCTGGAGAAACATGTTAAGATCTGAACGAGATTCCCGTGCCGGATATTTCTTAGTGCATCGCATTCCACCATGAAACTCTTGGAAGCTCCTTTTGTTGAAGGTTGAGGACCTTTATAGCAACTGAATTTTCTTCATTTTCAAGAATCCCCTTATATACAGAGCCAAAACTTCCTGAACCAATTAAAGCGTTTGGAATGAATCCGCTGGTAGCTCGATGAAGCGTTTCATATGAAACCTTTGAAAGGAAGTTGATTGATGAGACTGCGGATGGTGGTTTCTTTTCCTGTTTTCTCCTCCAGTAAAGTGCAAGCAAGAACGAAAGCAGGACGAGACATCCCACCACTAAAGCAATTATAAGTTTTTGTTTGCGACCAAGGATCTTTCTAGGTTCTGATCCTTTGATGGGGCATGCTGGTAGCTGAAATTCTGATACACCACCACAAAGCTTTGTATTTCCAACCAATGATATTATGCTCGTGTTTTGAAAGGCGCCTTCTTTTGGTACCTCACCCTCCAGATCATTGAAAGACAGGAAGGAAGTCTCTGTAGATTTTTTGGAATCTGTCCTGATAAGTTGTTTAGTGAAAGATTTAAACGCTGAAGACCACTCAAAGAAGCCAAAGAAAAGGTATGATTCCTCAAAAGGGATTTCCTTGCAGGTAAAGAAACTCAAGGCTCAGACAATCTCCAATACTTTTTGGAATTTCTCCAGTTAGGTTGTTTCCAGAGACGTCGAGCACATTGACATTCTTTAGCTTACCCACCCACACGGGCAGACTCCCAGTCAGTGAAGTATGTGATTAATTGAGCAGGACAGATAAGGAGGAAAGACCAATAACCTGTGGTGGTATATCTCCACTGAGGCTATTGTCTGAGATGTCCATGTACTGCAAATTTTTGCAGTTTCCGATGCTCGGGGGAATGCTTCCTTCTAATTTATTTTCTGATAAGTAGAGTTGAAACATTTTAGTGAGGTTTCCTATAGAAGGAGCGATCTGTCCTGATAATCTATTTCCATCTAAAGCCAGTATTTGCAGCTGTCGGAACTTCCCGAAAAAAGTAGGAAGGATGCCGATGAACAGGTTAGCCTGCATGCCTAAGACTATAAAATTGTTGAAGTTTTCTAATGCTGCAGGAATATTTCCAGAGATTTGATTTACTCAGAGATAGAGTTTGGTGAGTTGGGTTGAAAGATTGGCTACAGAGTTGGGTAAAACACCTCCAAAGTTGTTCAAACTCATATCAAGTATTTCCAGGTTGCTGCAATTTGTCAAGGGTGTTATAAAATACAGGTCATTAGCTGAATAACTTTCTAGGTTATTGTTGCTCAGACCGAGCCAGCGGAGATCTGGAAGATCTGCGAAACTTGCTGGAACTTGCCTCACAAAATTGTTTTCTGCGATGTCAAGTATTTGAAGCTGAGAAGCATTGGAAAATTAAGCTGGGATTGTCACTGAGAATTCGTTTCCACCAATGCCAATTTGTTGGAGATTAGGCATTTTGAGGCCAATGTCAGGTGGAATAATGCCCTCAAATTCATTATCCGTAAGTGATAAGGTATTCAAATTTCCATGCAGCTTTCCTTGAAACTGTTCTTACCATTGACAATTGACACACAGAACTAATAGATGACATGTTCTGCTGCTGTTGTGGTCAAAGAAAAGAAAAGGACAAACTGATGATCAATGTTTGAAAGAAAGAATCTGAAAGGAAAAAAAAATGAAGTTAAGTTCAATTTCAGTTGAAAATTATTCTTGTTTATTCTAATTTTCGATACAATATTCTTCGTTTCTGCGAATTCTGGAAATGTAACTAATTACTCGAACAAAAGCAGATGCTTTACGGGGCTGATTAGGGCATGATCATATGAGTTACAGAAATTGAGGTTCCAGTTAGTACATCCCTAACTAGGCATAATCCTTCTACAACACGTCCAATATCCATCCGCTCTCTCGGCAATTCTGCGGAACAAGCAACTCCTATCTTGGCCATGATAACCAAGCACTCGCTAATTCTTTGCCTTTGATCATCTTGGACATGGTTCCTATTGTTTGTGGCATTACCACAAATGCTGCTTTTTTTAACTTGAAGAAGCACTGGATCACATATTTCTTCGACGCGTTCAGGCAATGCCATCTGAACAAAGTTGTGGAGGGTCAGACCATCTTTGAACATTTCATCCGTCGGTCTCTTTCCAATAAGCATCTCCAACAGCAGGATTCCGTAGCTATACACATCTCCATATGCTGAAACCTCATTTCCCATGCCATACTCTGTAATTAAACATACGAACCATAAAGTTAATACCTTAAATAAAAAGAAGTTATTTTCTCGTACATGTCAGCAAGAGGTTGAAGCAACAATCGTACTTACCTGGGGCAGTATAGCCTATGGAGCCATTTATGACATTGGCAGTGCTTCTGTGTGAAGGAAGTGAACACGAAGCATCCTGGACGTACCTTGCTAAACCAAAATCTGCAACACGGGCAGTCATGTCGCCTTCCAAGAGAACGTTGCTGGGTTTCAAATCACAATGAACTATTGGTATGTGGCATTGGTTGTGCAAATAATTCAGAGCATTAGCCACGTCGATGGCAATGTTTACCCTCTGAATAAGGTTCAAATGCCCATGCACAATGGGTGCCCCTGGTGGTCTATGAGCTGAAAAATGCAGCCACTCTTCTAGATTTCCGTTCGTCATGAATTCATAAACCAAAGCTTTGAAATCGTTTCCTTGAAAGTCCATACTTAAACACACGGTCAGTAATTTGATAAGATTTCGGTGCCTAATGTTTTTCAAGGCTTCACATTCAGCTATGAAACTTTCTCTTGAACAATGAGCGTTGAGTACTTTCACTGCAACAATTCTTTCTTCCTGATTGATAATTCCCCTGTACACAGACCCGAAGCTACCAGCACCAATCAAATTCCGAGAAGAGAACCCATTAGTTGCTTTGAGGAGATCTCCATATGAAACTTTTAAGAGTGAGACCTCCCATGAGGAACCTAAAGTTAACTTCAATCTTGCTTTTCTTGATAGATAAAGAAGCATAAAGCTCAATGCTTTTTTGGGTGGATAAAGAATGACGCACCACAACAGTAAGATAAGTCCAATACAGCCCCCACAAGCAAATGAGATAAGAAATGTCCGCCATGGAAATATTTTGGAGTTGCATTTGGGCAATTGTAACTGAGGTATACCTCCACAAAGCCGTGTGTTTCCTTCGATATGAAGCATAGTTGTATTCTTGAAAACTCCTTCCATTGGTATTGCACCTTGAAAATCATTATATGATAGGTTCAAATTCAGCAAGAAAGGTAAGCTCCCCAAATAGTTGGGAATGCTGCCAACAAAGTTGTTACGAGAGAGGTCGATATCTTCGATCCCTCTTAGAGAACTTAAGGATCCAGGAATTGTTCCCCGCAACAAGTTTCCTCTCAGAGACAAACTCATCAAACTTATGCAACTCCCTAAGGTTTCAGGAATGCCACCAGATAATTGGTTCTCAGAAAGATCCAAGGAAGCAAGATTCACCAAAAGACCTACTTCGAAGGGAATGGAATCAGTAAGTTGGTTGCTGGATAGGTCCAACTCTAGTGACAGGGATGATAAACTCATGACTTCATGTGGAATGGGACCGCTAAGATAATTTTGGGAAAGAACCAAAGCTTGCAAATTCGTGCATTCACCGAGACTTGGCGGTATGCTTCCTACTAAGTTGTTTGACATGAGATCTAATCTGCCTAACGAAGTTAGACTGCCTACAGAAGACGGGATAGTACCTGACAGCTCGTTGTGATTCAACGACAGATCATACAGTTTACTTAGTTTCGATATTGAGCTTGGTATAGGACCCGTCAACTGGTTTGCCTCAAAGCCTAGTATCCCCAAGTTGTTGAGATTTCCGATATCAACAGGAATGCTTCCGCGCATCTGATTCCCTCCCAATCTCATTACCTCGAGCTTTGTTGAGAGATTGCTGAGAGATTCAGGTAGCACTCCTCCAAACTTATTGTCACTGATATCCAAACGCTTTAAATTGGTGCAATTTACCAGAGAAGATAGAAAATCCAAGTCACCTTCCTCATTATTTCCAAGATTGTTAGCATCCATTTCTACCCGGAACAGATTGGACATCCTTGCCAGATTAGGCACTCTTCCAGTAAACATATTGGCTGAGACGCCAAATAATGCAAGGTTGGATGCATTGGAGATTGAAACTGGTATTTGTCCACTGAATCGGTTGAAATGAAAATAAAAGGCTTCGAGGTTTGGAAAAATAGTGTGGCCCAAGCCAGAAGGAAGAGTTCCATGAAGTAGGTTTTCAAGCACCGAGATGATTGTAATAGAAGAGAGGTTGTATATAGAGGGAGGGATGGTACCATTCAAATTATTGGAACCCAAAGAAATATTTTTTAAGCTACTCAACTGGCCAAGGCTATTTGGAATACCTCCGTGCAGATTATTTTGTTGCAAAGATAGCATCTGAAGAGAAGAAAGATTTCCCAAAGAAGGTGGGATTTCCCCACTTAATCTGTTCTTGCCTAAATTAAGTACCTGAAGGTTGGACAGGAAGCCAATTTCATTATGAATCTTGCCACCGAGAATGTTATCGCCTAAGTCAAGGTAGCGGAGGTTAGAGCAACGTGATATGCTGACCGGAATATCACCCCTGAAGGAATTGTTACCAAGGCGTAATCGTTGCAGCCGGAACAAACGGCCAATTTCTGGAGGGATGCTGCTGTTGAAGCTATTGTTTTCGAGGTTTAATGTCCTGAGAAAGCTCAAGTTTCCAATGTTGGGAGATAGTTGACCTCCTAGCCGGCTTGATCGGAGGTCCAACACCGTGACTCTCTGGTGTCTGCGGCCGCAAGTAATGCCAGGCCATTCACAGAAGTGGAGGGATTCATTCCATGAGGCGAGGATGGCCATGCGATCACTCACAATTTCAGCTTTAAAGGCAAGCAAGGACAGTCTATCCACTTCATCTCCTCGCAGAGTTAAGGAGGACGAAGTGAGCATTAGGAGAAATAGTTGCATGAAAATTGACCAAACGCTAACAACAATACCTGGGAACCCCATTTAAGCCGCTAAATAAAGTTCCGGTGATGAAGCAGAAGCAGTGTTATACATGAAAGTAATTTGCAACGATTCCCGCAACTTCTTCGGTTGTTATGATTGTGTTGGATAAGAGCCGTCTCTGTCTGTGTAAGTGGCCCTCAGTGCTACAGACCAAAACAAGTTGACGCAGAGACTTCAAGTTTGATTGTGTTTGGTTAACACATCGCTTTCTTGCAATTCATTAGAAATTTCGGATGTCAGAGTCGTAGAATCAACCGGGTTTTGTCAAATAAGTGTGATGACAGAGTCAATGCAACAACCATAGAAACAAATGTTGTTGGTGGTGTAGCGCTAAAAGTTCATCAAAGTTATGTTAATTTATCAATTAATAAAGAGATGAAGTCATGGTAGTGTAAAAGAGAACCTGAAAAAAGAAGGGATAAAGTAATCATTGAGTACAGTAAAACAAGAAACACAGATTTTTACTTTTTTTTATCAATAAAAAAATTATATAAAAATCCACCGCGATGAGGTGAAACAGATACTTTGTGGAGTGAGATTCTCTAATATTTAACACTGTTATCATCATGGCTTAGGGGCCGTGACTTCCGCTCTGCAGGCTTCAACAAGTCAAGCGGTCATATTTCTACGCTTACCATTCTCCCGTTGGGAAATTCCACGGGGGCTCGCTCACCCGTCTTTTCTGTAAATTCCAATATTGCATATGGGTCCCGCCACCAACACAATAAAAAAAATAAATAAATCACAATTAAACTTGATATTTTTTTTCTCTCTCTCTGTGTCTTCCCTCTACCTGATGAAAACCAGAAGCCATGCTTCCCAAAATCCAGTTGTCACTCCTCTCTGAAATTAATAACCATGGCAGCCAAGTTGTAAAACCCCACGAAAAAAAAAATTCCCAAGATCTAAATCTCAGTCAACGTTTCTCTCTCTCCCAACATTTTGGACCCGGCTTCTCTACCCTTTCAGTTCTCATACATTTTCATCTCTTTCTATTTTGTGCGATCACGGTTAAATCACGTTAATATTTTATATTGATTTTTTTATAAAGATGTTTGGACCCAAATTTACACCATCCGTCCGTGCAATCAAGACCATTGAGTGAGTATAGCTTTCAACCGTCGGATGAAAAATGAAGATAATTTTGTTATTATTGAAAGATAATGTTATGATTTTTATCATAATAATTATCGTTTAACAAATTATCTTGATATTTTCTTATACGGGATAATAAGATGCAAAGTAAGTTTCCAAGCAAGCAGTACAATTCAAATGGACTTGGGACTCCTATTATCAGATTGAGCAGCAGCATGGTGATGGTACATTAATATGAGATTTGAATAGTCAAGATGCATGGTTTTGGGATAATGTTGAAGTCAAGATAATGATGCAAATTGGAATGTCATTGGTACATTGAATTTGGATGATAGAGATCCACGATATTTAAATATTATAACCAATCTTTGGATTAGATTGATGTTCTGCAAAGATGAAAGAAGCACACGACATTGAGCGAGGAAGCTTGACTTTGAGGGATATTATCAAAAAGGTTCTTTATCATAATATATGGACGCTGAGAGTTAGAATGGAACTGGAATACTTTATTTCAGTGGTGGCTGAGCATTACAACATCTATAAATAGAGGCAGTGGCAACGACAAAAACGACCTCCAATTCAACACACAGCTGCCCTGCGCAAACCTTTCAAACATGTTTTTTTTTATTTTCTTTTTCTGCCAACACATCTTCAGTTTGGATAAACAACACTGTTGTCGTAGAATCAGCCGATCACTGAGCACCTTTAGTTTGGATAAACAGCACTACGTCGAGGTCGACTGGTTACCTATCCAAGTCTCAGTCGAGAAGGGTTTCTGAATCCTTATTGGCAAAGGTCATCTTATTAGCCTTTTCGGCGAAATAAGGTGTTACAAGTTACTACATTCGGCACATCGAACGCCAAGTGGTTTTATGATTGGATACTCACAAGTGAGTTTCAGAGTTCGGCATTCTGACGGTCGAACCACATTTACCATCAAGACATACATCTCTCTTGAGTACTTGTGTCCATATAGTCTGGTGTCAATTCGGCGTGCTTATACTCTTACGAATATAATCACTGTGACCGAATCCGGTGTCAACGATTCGTGAACTTCGCAGTACTAGCAGCCTTGTCTTCAGGCTCAAGAATCCAAAGGGCAAGACTTGTTTCTTTCTCGGCCGCAATTGCAAGATCAAGAAGTCAGCGACGCACTCAACGCGACATGAACAAATTTTACTCCTCGGCCGACGAGTTGGCACGCCCCGCATCAACCGAAGGACGTAGTTAGCTAATTAGTTACTTGATATGCGTGCCACGTAGGCTTTGTAATTTTTAAGGTCAACAAGAGATAATAAGATAAAAATCAATATTGATATAAAATATTGACGTGACTTAATCGTAACCATACAAATAGGAAAAGATAAGAATGTATATGAACTGGGAGGTTGGAGATGTCAGGTCCCAAAATTTTAGTTATTTAATGGGCTTCTATATCTACTTTATGAACTTGTGCTGGCATGAAATGAGATGTAGATGTGAAATAAAAGAAGCAAAGCCATTTAGCAGTTAGCACTGATTGAGTTCCTTCCTTTTAGATTTTTTATATTAATAAATTCATTATCGTAACTTTTAATTTCTAATTCGTCTGCACTATCTTAGCCATGACCAAGTTCATATAATTTCGCGTATGGCATACGTGTGTGAAGGATGAAAGGACCCCACGTACTCTGGGATGTCAGACGTATGTGGCACCTCCTCCTCTGTCGCTATCGATGATTATGCGACAATTCCTGCGAGCAATGAGCTGTACAATGGTTCACCAAGGAAAGCTTCTCTTGTTGACTGGGGTATCTGCGAACTGCGTTCATTTTTCCTAATACAATTAGGCCGTGATCAGCTACAGCAATCAGCATTACTGATGTCGTATTTCTACCCTTATCAATTTTCTAGTTACTCGGTCTTCCAACAAGGCTACTTATACTCTCCGCTAAGTGCTAATTACGCTGTGATCACATGCGCATTAAGGCGTCCTGGTCCACACGTTGGAGATTAAGGGGGTGTATTCAATTAGAATTTTAAGAGAGTTTCAGAGAATTAATAATTCCAGATGTATTCAATTATGAATTTAAAAGACTTTATAAAAGTCTTGGTGTATTCAATTGAGATTCTTAAAGACTTCTTACAATTCCCTATAAATTTAGGTGTATTCAATCATAACTTTTTGAAAGTCTCTAAAAGTTTAGGTGTATTGAAAAGTGAAGTGGATTTGAACGAATTTGTGATTTGGTGGATTTTGGAGGATTTCAAGATGATATGTATAAATACCAAAGAGCTTGGCAAATCTCACCTCAACCCTAGAAACCTTGAGAGATTTTGAGCGTGCTGCTCTTTCCTCCAGAGACCGTCTTCTCCCTTCCAGAAACATCGGGCTCCAAGGTAAAAAATTTCTCACTTTGTACATGTTATCTTTTTTTCTCTCCTTCAAGCTTCATGATTTTTCTTGTTTTGATAGTGTTGTACTAGGGTTAGGGTTTTTTTGACCATCAAACTTTTTGAAATTCATGTGTATTGTGAAGATACAAGTATTGATTTTACTATTTTGATCGAAAAGTTATTGATTCATGTATATAGACGTTACTTTTGGGTTAGGGTTTGATTTTACTGTTTGGAATTCAAGTTTGTATAGGTTGTCTCCCTTCTGCATCCCGTGCTGAAAACTTTTTCTGCTTGTGCAGCATACTATTTGCAGTCAGAATCTTGATTTGCTAGAAGGGTCTAGCGATCACTAATCTTTTTCTTTTCAAGTGCAGCACTCTTGCAACCTCATTTTTTTTTTTCTTTTTATCTTAAATAATAAAAAATTATTTCAAGCCTCAAAGTTTTTTTTTTAGCCGAAACATGGTAGGGTGAAGTTGTGGACAGAGTTAGTGTTAGCTTGTGCAGGGTTGCACAACTTTCTTCGCAAGGAATGCCGTTGTGATGAATTTCCAATCGAATCAAAAGATGATGAATCTTAATCAAACTCAAGAGCAACAACGACAGATTGCTAATGCATGGGGAGCTGACATAGCTACAAATATGTGGACATATGTTGTGAGTGATAGCATTCAAAGATGAGAAATAGAATTAATTGTTTTTACGGATTGGAGTATGCAATTTGTGTTTGAAAAACTTTGATAGCTAGTTTATTTTGTAAGCCTTTACTTTCAAGATTTTGGATGCCAATGTTTAATTTCACTTTGATAGCTACTTAACATTGCATGTGAACTTGGTATTGTGATTTGTATTAGTAGGATGAAACTGATTTTGGCTTGTAAAGGAAAGGAAATTGTTGATCAAATTCTCTGAAATTGTCTAACCCTATGTAAACAATTCTCTCACAATTCATGTGAATTCTCTGGAAGTTATAATTAATTCACTCAAAATCTCTGGGAATTCATTTTTTTCTCTCAAACGCTCTCAAATTCCGTAGATTTAAATTCTCTGAAACTCTCTCAAAATCCTAATTGAATACACCCTCCTAAACTAGCCTTTGGAATTCGCTCCGAATCTTCCAATACCACCAGAAAAATTTCTAGAAATGAGTTCGAAACCTTAGGGTTTGTTTGGTATTTTATTTGAAAATTTTTATCATTTCTCAAAACATTTCTTAAGAACTTTTCTTGAAAACAATTTTTCTTAAGACTCAAAAACTTGTTTGGTATGCGATTTATTAAATTTTACAACTTAAACTTGACAAAGAGATCCAAAAAAAAGGGGTCGAGGGAGAAAAAGGAGAGAGGAGAAAAGAAAGTAAGAATGTTTTGAGAAAAGAAAAAGAAGAGAGAGGATCATATGAGATAGAGGGGAAGAAGGGTGAGACAAATAATGGAGAGAACGAAGAGAGCGGATCGAAGGAGGGACAAAAAAAGGTAAAAAAAAAAAAGAAAGAAGGGGGAGATAGAAAGAAGAAAAGAGGTATAGATTTGGGGTGAGATGGGAGGAGGGAGAGAAAAAAAATGAGTGAGTTTAAGTTTAAAAACTCTAAAAACTCACTTTTTGTTTTTTTAGAGAATAAATTATATTTTTTAGTTAGTCTTAAGTTTAGTTTT